ACCCAGAAAACAACCACTTCTTGTTCTTCAACAGTTTCTTTTCTTTAAGAACTTCAGTGAGAGAGCTTTTCCAGAGCCTGTAAGACACTGAAGGTACCATGCCAAGTTATTCACATGATCCTGGAAATACCTCCACTAGAATCCTGAGGCATGACTCTTCTCTACGGAAAGCCACGCTGACTCCTCTCTTGTATCTGCCTACATGCCCATCATTCTGCTCTTTACTAAAGCTTCACCCAACAAGTCTGGTTTTAAACTCAGATTGCTGATCTGTTCTCTGAAGCCCTCCAGGAGTCTTTTAAAAAAAGCGATCGTGTTTTCCACCTTTCATTTCTCTGGCACTGACACCAGTTTAAGCATTAGGTCACACCTCACTGCTAGTCACTTGACAGTTTTATATCTCAGTTTCTTTAAAACTCTTGGATAAATATTATCTGGAAAGACTTATAAGTGATAGTCTCTTGTACAGACTTACTCTGCAACATCTAATGAGATTCAGCTGGGTACGGTTCCTCAGGTTGGTAACACCACCACCCCCCCAGCAAATCTCTCGTCTGAGCTTCTCCTGAACGAGTACCAAGCTGAAGAAGCCCGTTGGCCTTCGGCTGTTACCTCGCAGCATTTTTGCACCTCACCCATCTGTCCCCCTCTCCACACCCTGCGGCAGGTTTCTTCCTCGTGGTTTTGGAGAAGTTTTTGTTAGCTTTATGTCTTTAGCGAGTTGTCTCTGAGAATTTTATTTGGCCTGTCACTATGGTTTTACATTTTCACTGTCCACAGTTCAAACTCCTCTCCAGATTTCTCATTAAGATGTGACGTGTACTTCTTAGAAAGTCTTGTTACCTGTCTCTGCTTTTTAACAATGTCAGCTTTTTTTAACTTTTGGAGGGCATAGTTGTGTAGAAGTCCAGAATAAGCTCCTTTTTCAGACTAAAATTCAAGGATGGATCCTTACTGAGCAAAACCCTCCATCACTGCTTTGGTTACCTTTTTGAAGAGCCTGATGACATCCTCACTGATCTGCGACAGCCGGACGATGACATTGTTCATGAAGATGTCATTCAGGGTGGCGTGATCTCTGCTCTCTCGCCGGGTCTGCGTCAGAACCAGGTACCAGCAGTTCACAGGGGAAAGCAGGTGCTGATCTTTCCTAAGGAATTGGAAAAAAAAAAAATCAAAAAGGTCAAGTGAACGAGTCAAAAAGGTATGTAATTTTCAAATGAAGGCCGACAGCATATTAACGCTGCCTTCCTCCACCACATACATCACTGCAATCCGTCGCACCCCAGAGAAAAGTGTGTGAGCTCCTCTTGCCTGTCTCCCCCCAGAGGCACCCAGCCACGCACCCCACGGCCCCTCAGCGCAGCTCCGGGAGAGCCAGCCCGCCTCTCCAGCACACGGCCACCACCACCACCACACTGCTCCGACAGCGCTGTCCCCATCGCCCTGCCGGGAGGACACCCGGCCACAGCATCTCCTGCTGCTGCCACCCCTCGCCTCCCCCTCCCCGGGGCCACAGTCACGTCAGGCAGTGGCACAGCTCTGCAACGGAGGTGACCAGTGCACCACGGGCCATCCACCGGCTCAGAGCCACGTCCTTTCGGCAGACACCACGGGGTCATCGGTGCCGGTTTGGTGATGGCCCGACCGGGATGGTGGTGCGACCTGGCAGACGCCCCATGCCCAGACACAAGGCCGGCTGCCCACACCGGCACCTCCTCTTCGGTGCAGGAAAGGCGCTAAAGTATCTCTGCCAGCACAGAAGCTCCCAGGCTAAGCATTATACACGCGGGTTTCAACCAAGCCAAGGAATTCACATTCTTTGCCCCAAGCTGCTCTCTCCTGCAGCTTCGTCCTTATTTACCAGCCTCCCACGGCTGCCGGCGCCAGGACAGAGGCTTTCCGTGCAGGGAGACGGATGCTCTGACGCTGACCCCGGGCACAACCCTGTGCTTCACAACACACACGCACACACATGGATCTTTGCACGCAATCTGCCATACACAGCCTAATTTTTTTGCCCTACCTCGACTTCTCAGGGCACCCACTGTGCTTTCTGGACCACTGCCCTGTAGTTACCCTTTATAAAGGTGTGGTCTGCAAAAAATTAATTAGCAATATGACAGTAATACAGTGCAGGTACTCTGGGCAACAGCTCTGAAGGACCTGAAAACGTGCGAGTCGGATGGCAACAACACAAGAGCTGGTCCCAGCCAAGGTGGGAACCATCTGTGGCCCTGCTCCAGTTTCCACAAACCTCTTTTGGAGTTTCTTTCAGCCATTCGAGTGCTTCCCCTCAGGGACGTCCACCAGGACATGAGCAGGTGTACCAAATCAGACCCTTCCCAAGCCAGGTGCTCTGGAAGATGGTACAGAAGAGACCTTCTTGGCAATCCCTTCAATGCTTTGCAAGGGAGAGAGAGTTTTGCTTCTTTTCCCCACTTTGTGCTATGAATACGGCTGTCACTTTCATTTCAGAAAGAGCTCATTTGCCACGCAATCTGTTGTACCACATTTAGTCCACTAAACAGTGCTGGAGAAAATGTTTTGCATCCAATGTTAACACGAAGTGTCTGTGCACAACATGAATACGTTCATGTATGCTGAATGTTTACGATGGTCTTAACCCAACTCGTGCTGCAGACAACAAAGACACTGCCATGAGCGGCAGCAGACATCGGGGCGGCTGACGTGGAGAGTCCCCAGGAGCCAGGCAGCACCCTCAGAGCCAGCTCGTCCCCACCCGGCCCCGCTGGCGAGACCCTCCCCAGGGGCACCCCAAGACCCTGACTCACCTGGAAGCCAGGGGTGGTCAGAAAAGCTCTCTTTTGAGGGAAATTTCAGGGAACATTTCACACTTAATTAGAGCTTAACTAATGTTGACATGTTCCATCTCAACACTGAAAGAAACCTGCACTGCTCTCCATGCACTGCTTTTAGTACTAAAGCAAATTATTCAAAAGTGAAACGTTTCCAGAAATGATACAACTGAAACAAAACATTTCACATTGTCCAACGGAGACACTTTGAGATAGACCCTCTAAATGAGGCAGCCAGGTGATTTGTTCCAAATATTTCACCGACACCGTTTCTCTGGTCAAACCAACCCTTTCTTACGAGACATGTTGGGTCCAGAGAATTGGCCCCTTTTGGCGGAGACCTCCCCTGCCACCATCCTGCCTGGACAGTTCTCCCCATGTGCCAACAGCAACGCCCAATGGTATGTTCAAGCCCCAGCGGCTTTTCCCTCCCCAGCCCCTAAAGATACCCACAAGCTGTCCCAGGGAGCACCCGCTGCTTCGCCCACACGGCAGCCAGGTCTGCTGTGCACCCAGGTTTGGCAGCCTGCACACACCGACAGCGCTGGCAACACAGCCGTGATGGACACGGGCCTCAGACCCCCGTGCTCCAAGAAGACTGACCTTCCCAAGAAGTCCTGAAACCAGAAAGCTAGCCCAGGCTGTGCAGCTGGGCAGCCAAAGCCTTCACACACCTACCCTTCCTCCTCCAAGATGCTCTCAGCCACAGCAGCGGGGCTGGTACAGCCCACCGCACCACTGAACCCATGTGGAGAGGAGAGCCAGCCCGCCTCTCCAGCACACGGCCACCACGTGTGGCATGGTGACTCCAGAAAACCTCTGCATGCACCTCCAGACAGAAGAACTCCATCTAAAAGCATGAATGAGTCTGTCATCCCGTAATCACCATGACCAGCCCAGCAGCAGCACTGCGGCGACACAGGGCAAAGGAAGAGCTGAAGATACCGTATCTCTTAAGAGTGTCAAAAGCCTCATCAGAATAATGACATTCATGAGCAGTCTGGGGAAACAGTGCAGATGAACCTACTAAAGGGCAGTCTGGAAGAAAAATATATTAAGTGTCTCTCAACACAGTGAGCCAGTGAGGACTTGGCAGAAGTGAGCACTGAAATCAAGCTGACCCTATTAGCACTATCAATGCCATCACAAACCACCAGGCACTTGTGCCTGGGCATTTTATGGAGGTGGAGAATCATCGTTACTTGTGGATACCGCACAACACAGAGCATCCTTCCAATACTGGAAGCACACTAAGCAATGGGAGAGGCATGATACTGCTCTCAGCTGATGGGAGAGGCACACGCACGCAGCGAGCCTTCATGGGCTCCAGCATCCCTGAACTTCTTGAGCCCATGCTGGCCAACTCCTTCTCCAGGAGAGTTATCCCCAGTGCATAATACAGCAGCACCAGCCCAGCACCGCACAACTGACAAGCAACAGCCACATGCAAAGAGCACATTTGAACGGTAATTCATTTTCAGCAGACTTTTGCTAAGACAACAGTAAAGCCTTGCTCACTAGAGAGACCAAGTAAACAGATTAAATGGGATTTAGTAATATGGAATAAATAGGATTTAGTAATGTAACAGCAGAAATCACCGCTCTT